AGTAAGGTAGCTGTTGTCCAGATGTGACAGTAAGGTAGCTGTTGTCCAGATGTGACAGTAAGGTAGCTGTTGTCCAGATGTGACAGTAAGGTAGCTGTTGTCAAGATGGACATAAGGTAGCTGTTGTCCAGATGTGACAGTAAGGTAGCTGTTGTCCAGATGTGACAGTAAGGTAGCTGTTGTCCAGATGTGACAGTAAGGTAGCTGTTGTCCAGATGTGACAGTAAGGTAGCTGTTGTCCAGATGTGACAGTAAGGTAGCTGTTGTCCAGATGTGACAGTAAGGTAGCTGTTGTCCAGATGTGACAGTAAGGTAGCTGTTGTCCAGATGTGACAGTAAGGTAGCTGTTGTCCAGATGTGACAGTAAGGTAGCTGTTGTCCAGATGTGACAGTAAGGTAGCTGTTGTCCAGATGTGACAGTAAGGTAGCTGTTCTCCAGATGTGACAGTAAGGTAGCTGTTGTCCAGATGGGACAGTAAGGTAGCTGTTGTCCAGATGTGACAGTAAGGTAGCTGTTGTCCAGATGTGACAGTAAGGTAGCTGTTGTCCAGATGTGACAGTAAGGTAGCTGTTGTCCAGATGGGACAGTAAGGTAGCTGTTGTCCAGATGGGACAGTAAGGTAGCTGTTGTCCAGATGTGACAGTAAGGTAGCTGTTGTCCAGATGTGACAGTAAGGTAGCTTTTGTCCAGATGGGACAGTAAGGTAGCTGTTGTCCAGATGTGACAGTAAGGTAGCTGTTGTCAAGATGGGACAGTAAGGTAGCTGTTGTCCAGATGTGACAGTAAGGTAGCTGTTGTCCAGATGTGACAGTAAGGTAGCTGTTGTCCAGATGTGACAGTAAGGTAGCTGTTGTCCAGATGTGACAGTAAGGTAGCTGTTGTCCAGATGTGACAGTAAGGTAGCTGTTGTCCAGATGTGACAGTAAGGTAGCTGTTGTCCAGATGTGACAGTAAGGTAGCTGTTGTCCAGATGTGACAGTATGGTAGCTGTTGTCCAGATGTGACAGTAAGGTAGCTGTTGTCCAGATGTGACAGTAAGGTAGCTGTTGTCCAGATGTGACAGTAAGGTAGCTGTTGTCCAGATGCGACAGTAAGGTAGCTGTTGTCCAGATGTGACAGTAAGGTAGCTGTTGTCCAGATGTGACAGTAAGGTAGCTGTTGTCCAGATGTGACAGTAAGGTAGCTGTTGTCAAGATGGGACAGTAAGGTAGCTGTTGTCCAGATGAACAGTAAGGTAGCTGTTGTCAAGATGTGACAGTAAGGTAGCTGTTGTCGCATGAAAAAGTTTCTTGCACGCTGTAGCGTTGTACTTTTAAAAATTCCAATTACGTTTTTATCCACGTAATAGTAATAAGGTTTTTTTTAGATAAATTTCTGTGAAATTGTAAACAAAACTAAAACGACCCATGCGCATCGTCGCCAATCCTACAGCCTGTCGTATCGGTACAGAAGCTCGTTAAATACTTGTCTGTTGTAAGCCAACAAGGTCTGAACTTGTTTGCAAACACTTCCTTGTTGGAATACAAAAACTACCTTCTTTATACAAATGATTGAACTGATTGAAGCTGTAACAAAATTGTATTGTCGTTGTCTGGAGTTGCCTAATTAACATCTCAAGTATCTGAGAAACGGTTTTAAACTGCTGACTCATGTTTCTTTGTCTCGGTTGGCTGTAATCTTCTACCCAAGTCCAGGGATTAAAGGATTATCTCGCGGCGTGCTTCTGATTCGTTCTGCAGGCATTCAGCTCACCAAGACTTGTAGTGCAACAGATCAACTAGTTCACGTTTCTAGTTTGTCTTTGTGAGACACACATCAACTAGTTCACGTCTTTGTGAGACACGTCTTTGTGAGACACACATCAACTAGTTCATGTCTTTGTGAGACCCACATCAACTAGTTCACGTCTTTGTGAGACACACATCAACTAGTTCTTGTCTTTGTGAGACACACATCAACTAGTTCACGTCTTTGTGAGACACACATCAACTAGTTCACGTCTTTGTGAGATACACATCAACTAGTTCACGTCTTTGTGAGACACACATCAACTAGTTCTTGTCTTTGTGAGACACACATCAACTAGTTCACGTCTTTGTGAGACACACTTCAACTAGTTCATGTCTTTGTGAGACACACATCAACTAGTTCATGTCTTTGTGAGACAATACATCAACCAGTTCATGTCTTTGTGAGACGCGTCTTTGTGAGACACACATCAACTAGTTCATGTCTTTGTGAGACACATATCAATAAGTTCATGTCTTTGTGAGACACGTCTTTGTGAGACACACATCAACTAGTTCATGTCTTTGTGAGACACATATCAATAAGTTCATGTCTTTGTGAGACACACATCAACTAGTTCACGTCTTTGTGAGACAATACATCAACCAGTTCATACACACTTCAACTAGTTCGTGTCTTTGTGAGACACACTTCAACTAGTTCATGTCTTTGTGAGACACACATCAATTAGTTCATGTCTTTGTAAGACACACATCAACTAGTTCACGTCTTTGTGAGACAATACATCAACCAGTTCATACACACATCAACTAGTTCACGTCTTTGTGAGACACACATCAACTAGTTCTTGTCTTTGTGAGACACACATCAACTAGTTCATGTCTTTGTGAGACACACTTCAACTAGTTCATGTCTTTGTGAGACACACTTCAACTAGTTCATGTCTTTGTGAGACACACTTCAACTAGTTCACGTCTTTGTGAGACACACTTCAACTAGTTCATGTCTTTGTGAGACACACATCAACTAGTTCATGTCTTTGTGAAACACACATCAACTAGTTCACGTCTTTGTGAGACAATACATCAACCAGTTCATACACACTTCAACTAGTTCATGTCTTTGTGAGACACACTTCAACTAGTTCATGTCTTTGTGAGACACACTTCAACTAGTTCATGTCTTTGTGATACACACATCAATTAGTTCATGTCTTTGTAAGACACACATCAACTAGTTCACGTCTTTGTGAGACAATACATCAACCAGTTCATACACACATCAACTAGTTCACGTCTTTGTGAGACACACATCAACTAGTTCACGTCTTTGTGAGACACACATCAACTAGTTCATGTCTTTGTGAGACACACATCAACTAGTTCATGTCTTTGTGAGACAATACATCAACCAGTTCATGTCTTTGTGAGACGCGTCTTTGTGAGACACACATCAACCAGTTCATGTCTTTGTGAGACAATACATCAACCAGTTCATGTCTTTGTGAGACGCGTCTTTGTGAGACACACATCAACTAGTTCACGTCTTTGTGAGACACACATCAACTAGTTCATGTCTTTGTGAGACACACATCAACTAGTTCATGTCTTTGTGAGACAATACATCAACCAGTTCATGTCTTTGTGAGACGCGTCTTTGTGAGACACACATCAACTAGTTCTTGTCTTTGTGAGACACGTCTTTGTGAGACACACATCAACCAGTTCATGTCTTTGTGAGACAATACATCAACCAGTTCATGTCTTTGTGAGACGCGTCTTTGTGAGACACACATCAACCAGTTCATGTCTTTGTGAGACACACATCAACTAGTTACTTTTAGAAATGAACGGGGAATCTATTTCAGAATCAATTGAGTGAGCCATGTAATGAGCATGCAGAGTTTCTTCCAAGCATCTGTTCGGCTGAGCCCCCCCCCCCCCTGAAGAAAGTCTACCGACCCCCCACCCCCGTACGAAATGAAAATTATATAGAAAATATACTTTTAACAGTGTCCGCCGTCCGCACCCCCCTCCCCGAAAATTTCAAGTGCCCCCCCCCCCCCCGGAGAAAAAAGTCTGGAAGAAACACTGTCAGAGCATGTAGCCAGAGACATGGAGACAGGCAACTGGCACGATGCAGTAATTCTTGGGGGAAAAGTTGAACGTCAGCGATGTAGACAAATGTGGGTGAACAGGCGATTGTGTATGGAAACTGACGCGAAAATATGAGACCATGACACCAGCAACGTTATCCCATTAAGACACCACCCTTTGTTTAATTACCTCAGATTATCGTTATCCCTAGATGAATTAACTTGTGTCAATACCCCCCCTACAAAAAAAAGTTATAATTAAATTCTAATCCTTACATTAAAGGAACCAAAACGCAAAGGTAATGTTAGGGCTCGGCTTCATATAACCGTTAGACAATGGTTCGGAGAGGATAGGTTTGTTCTGCACTTTACGTGTTTGCTTTTTGGCATTCTATAGATTGTGAGAAATACGATTGCCCCCTGTGTTCCCAATACCGGCGTTCTATTGAATATGTAACAAATGTAAGAAATACGATTGTTAGTTCTCCGTGGACCCACAGCAGCCATTCGATTGACTGTCTAGCCATTCTATAGAAAATCGTTCTAAAATTAACGGGATTCTTATTTAACCGGCAACAATGATATTCTCGAGATGGTAATAATAACCGTAGTGGGGGGGGGGGGGGGCGGGGGAATGCTCTAGACAATTGTTACACAAGACAACAAACGTGTCCATGTATTATTTCAAGAGTTGCTACAACAATTACACGCCACATTGTGTAAGTGTAATGGCCTCATGCTAGGATCGTTTCATGGATTGATATGTAAATAATGTAATGGCTTCAAATATATTGTTACATGCTGTGGTATGTAACAGCTCTATATGGAAGTATTGTTTCACGGCCTGATACCTGTACTGTTACATGGATAGCTGTGTACTGTAAGGACCCACACAAGGATTGGTCCCGGCAGATTGAACAATATCAGCCTGGTACTTAGATCCAATTAGATTACACGGCAGCCTATGTCAAGACTTGATTGACAATCAATATCATGTAAGACAGGTTTTAGCAGGCTGACGACAATGTTTTATTGGCTGTTGTTTTTTTCTCTCACTCCATACATGCCAGAACGTCAAATCAAACTTGACATTGTTTACTTCCATTGGCTGAAGGGTCTGTGTGTAAGACTACATGAATACAAACACAAGTCTAGTGAGCAAGAAAACAATGCTTGTTTTATTCAAATAGTTGACAGTGTCAGCAAGAAACATGTTAGCTTAAACAGTGAGTGAAGTTAACATGGCAGAAAATCTCTGAATAAAATGTTCATTATTGACCTGTCTATCTCTAACTAGTTACCCAACCAGTCCATCTCAAACTAAACTAGTAACCCAACCGGTCCATCTCAAACTAAACTAGTTACCCAACCGGTCCATCTCAAACTAAACTAGTAACCCAACCAGTCCATCTCAAACTAAACTAGTTACCCAACCGGTCCATCTCAAACTAAACTAGTTACCCAACCGGTCCATCTCAAACTAAACTAGTTACCCAACCAGTCCATCTCAAACTAAACTAGTTTACCCAACCGGTCCATCTCAAACTAAACTAGTTACCCAACCGGTCCATCTCAAACTAAACTAGTAACCCAACCGGTCCATCTCAAACTAAACTAGTTTACCCAACCGGTCCATCTCAAACTAAACTAGTTACCCAACCGGTCCATCTCAAACTAAACTAGTTATCCAACAGGTCAATAAGAACGGCCATTTTTGTATGAGTATTCCTGTAAGCACAGCATTTGCTTTGTTAGTGCAATGGTTACAAATTGACTGGATTACACAAGACTTCTTTACTTGATTATTTATCTTTATATTACTGAGACATGGCAGAAATGTTTTAACTAGAAAGTTGTTGAGTAAAACATCCCGTAAACTCCAGGCTATCTGCCTGAATAAACCAATGTACACATACACAGTTGACTTGAAGCAGTTTAAAAAAAAAATCACATTGATCCAGCAGATAATTCACAGAAAAAAATCTCCAACACCTAGAAGCAATGCTACTTAAGTAAAAACTCAGCTTGTACTTGGCAGACAAGTACTAAATGAAAGTAAAAAAAAAAATGAATACAAAGTATGCATGACTAGCAGCTCAAATACAAGGAAGGTTCTGCTTCAATAAACAGGTACAACCATATATACACAGAACAAGATTCAAATCTTAAATATGCAGTCCAACTATGTACTTGTAAAAAAAATTCAAAACATGTTTTTATACAGTTAAATGAAATACATTTATAAATTAAAGCTCAAATTATAATTAAAAAGATTTTTACTTTCAAATATTTTAAAAATATAATTTTTATGGAGCTAACAGCATTAGGATGATAATTTAAAAAAACAAAATATTTTAAGACCAGTTCAAATTAATGTATTATTTGTGCCACTGTAAGTAAAAAAAAAAACAAAAAAAAAAACAAACTTGTGTTGCACCTCAAATCAACACCAGATTAACAATTTGATGTAAAATGTATGTCTTATACATACAGTGAGTGCTGAGACTAAATGAAACAAAAATCAAATATAAGGAAACAGGTCTGTTCTATGATAACCAACTAATACAGAAACTGCTCATTAACTGATGACATACAACTGAAGCATCAAATTAACTTATCATTTCATACTTGATATTTCTTGAGTAACATTTCTACAACACAATTACATGCTAGCCAATGAGTAATGACTGACTATTTATAATTAATGTGAAATAAAAATCCTGGAACAAAAAACACTGAATTTAAAAATCACACATAGACTGTTAAAAAACTGAATTCAATAAACTTAAGTGGGTTAGTCATCACAGTTGTCCAATACTGAAGAATCATATAAAACTTGAGACACCTAGTTTGTTTACATTCACAGGGAAAATTATGTGTTGTTTTCTTCCAAATCAACTAGGTAGGACTAGACATCAAGGACATGATGGCCTTGCCAGTAATCAGTTACATCATTATAAGATGTGGGTGTTACCATCAGACTATTGTGTTAAATAATTGATCATTATAAGAAGTGGGTGTTACCATCAGACTATTGTGTTAAATAATTGATCATTATAAGAAGTGGGTGTTACCATCAGACTATTGTTAAATAATTGATCATTATAAGAAGTGGGTGTTACCATCAGACTATTGTGTTAAATAATTGATCATTATAAGATGTGGGTATTACTATCAGACTATAGAGTTAAATAAATTAATACTGCAGTGTTTTACCCTGTTAAGTATTAATAAACTACTTTCAGCACAATTTCATATCAATGTAAATCACAATAAAGTTGTTCAAGCATTCCAATGGCCGGGAGCACTGTGACAGCATTCAAATAGCAGGGGATGCTACACTTTAACAGCTATTTCATGTACTAGTATGTCTTTCAAAAACATAAAAATATGCATTGTACAATGACAATTAAAAAAGCAGTCATACACATTCACATAAAAATGACCATGAATGAATTCTGATCATTTTGATAACTCACATTCTAAAATAGTTTTCACATCACTTGAAATATTGTAAATGTCAGAAATCAATTCTTGCCAATGGTAGTGTTACACTCCAGTTACAAAAGTGTGTTGTTGTGGTGTTTAAATACAGCAAGCAGACATTTTTATCTGGGTACATTTCCCTATCAGACCCAGTCACATGGAGCTGGTGCCGGCAAGAGTTGGTGTGGAAGACAAACATTTTGATGTTAGAAATTTTCTCGGGGTTTTTCTTAACATTTTAAAATAATGGACAACCCATAGAAAAATAATTCACTAAGACAACAACAGTTAAGAGAATTACTAAGCCTGTAGCTTTCATTTCTGAGTGTTTCAGTTATCATAGGATATATATATCTACATATAATATGTATATATATATAATGATTAAGTGGAAACTGTTTCAAAATAGTATTAAAGTATACCTAATAAATAAATGATCAATTTTGGAAGAACACAGGTAGCAATGAACGTTACAAGTTAGACAGCGTTTGAAATAAAAATGAACAAAATAGTTTACAAAACCTTAAATATGTATATACTTACAGCCTCCAGTGTATTTTTCAATACTGATATTAAGTTAAATTAAAAACCAACCAACAGTGATATACAGTACAGTTCAGTATGTGAGAATACTAGCAGAAAGTAAGGAATAAATTATCTTAAGTAAAAAACTTTTTTCATTACTTGAAAGCAATCAAGCAATGTATGTGCCTAAATTTTCTATTTTAAAAGTAAAACTGTACTGAAGTAGCAATCAGCCAAAATAATAAAGTAGATCATATAGATAAGTAGAGATTATAAAAAGTAAAATATTTTAGAAGTATTTAAAAACATCATCAAATATTAAGTTTCCAATGATGAAAACTAGGCAGCTCAGAACTGCAATAAGATAACTATGGCCATAGAATTATGTGACGTTTGCTGATCTTGGACATAGACATGAGCAGCAGATGACTTACAATTTTCAAAATTTTATTGATCTTTAACGTTTGTAAATTAGATGCTTTGCATTACTCCAAAAGTAATTCTGTCACACACTTTTCCAGTTTATCTGATTTTTAAAAATCTGAAGGTGTTTTAAGAAAACCAAATATTGTGAGCAGAACAAATAATTCCATTAACAATGTATCATTAAGTACTATATAATGTAAATGTAATATTCTTAATCATGTACATATACAGACAATAGATATTGTTCTCACACAAATTGGCCACTAGCTTCCCAGGTTACAATAGTCATAATTTTTTTCTAGATTATGGTCAGTACAAAAGTTACTTGAAAGGTTTTAACTTAATATTATTGTAGGTTCACGTACCACGAAGTATATTGTAGGTGCACACACATGAAAAAGATACATTATTTTATTCCATTTCCATATTTCACACCATTGCCATTGGTATGAGGAGCACCTTCAGACACCTTCATGTGGTTCTCTCCCTCTTCGGGTTTTTCCACTCTTCGTTTGACACGAGAGTAAGGTCCAATTTCAGGGTCAAAGATGAAATCCCAGATTACCTTCACCCATGAATGATGACAAGGCAGGTTTTTGTAGTATTCAGGAGCAATTTTTCTGACCTACCAAGTTACAAGTGTTATAAGCAATATAGTAATTAAAGAAAAATGAAACTTAAATAAAGGCATAAAGTGATATAAGATACATCAGTATCATAAACTGTTAAGAATAATAAGATAAATAAATATAGGCTGAATGTGATATAACTATATATATATATATAATATTTACCTCTGGTAATCGAGAGCCAGGAATGCTTGGGAAATCATGATGTTCATTGTGGTATCCAACATTCCAAGTCAACCAATTCAATGGACCATAATATGAGTATGTTTCATAGCCTTTAACAAACATGTAGTGTTCAGAGATGAAATGTCCAGCCATGGGATGGAATCCAGTGGCCATAAAACTGCCCAACACCAAATATGCCAAAGATTTGAAACCAATGAAATAAAAGAGTAAAAAGTCGAAGACAAACTGAATCACAATATTGGTCAACTCAAGGAAACCCATGGGCTTAGGGTTAATTACAAATGGGCGGATAGAATAAAACCATGGTTGCAAAAGTACCCAAATAAATTTATGGAGTGTGCGAGTAAAAAATCTTGTTTCAAAACTTGAAGGTATGTCCACATCTTTTTGTTCATCCCCCTGGTAACGATGATGATCTAAGTGGTATTTCTTAAAAGATATAGACATGGGCACAGCAATAGGAAGATTCACAAAGAAGCCGAAAAATCTGTTGGCCAATGGACGACCATGTCCAAATGCTAAGTTGTGGGAAATTTCATGAATTGCTAAAGTCAAAGAGTGATTGATTGTTCCACCAAAAATATATGCAAAGATTAAAATTGTCATCCAGGAATGGTCTTTCATAGCATAGCATGCTAAAAACTGAAAGATGACCATTACAGTTACTATGTACTTGAATTTTGCATCAATTCCCATCAGCTTTTTCATTTCAGGATACTTTGCTGAAAAAAATAAAAAAAATAATGTAATTATAGGCCTAGCTAAATTATTATTGAATTTAATGGCTGAAAATAACTGAAAAAAGTAAAGCTGTATATTACAGTATATTTCATACATGCTATGAATACATGGGTTCATTAATACATCTTAGCATTGAATAAACAAAATTAATATAGATCTATAGGTTCCTAACTAAAGGTCTACTAAAAAACTGCTAGTATTTTATTTTGTTGATGTACAAGTAATATTACTATTACGAGCTGACCCGCTGCGTATCATATGCCGCTATTTAGTTGTTTTTTTTTTCTACTTTTCAGTAATTTATAATTTGTGAATTCGACAGTACCAATGCTGCCATTGAAAATATTTGCTTAAAAACACTAACCCCCCCCCCCCCCCACGTGAAAGCAGCCTCCTCTTAGTTACCTCCTCTAAGTTTAAAATCGTTTCAAACTAAATTATCTGCCCCTAATAGCCGTCACCAAACCCGTCTCTATGATTGTAAAATGTAAACAGAGTGAACACCGCTCACCAGATCATGTGGGGGTGGGGTGGGGGTGGTAGTGATGTGATAGAGAGGAAGAGAGGGGACTGCAAAGGCGCGCTTGCAGCTTGTTTTCTAACTGATCCCCGAAGAGAATTATATATATAGATTCTGAATCAAAGCATAGCACCTTAGAGAAATTCAGAATATAATGATTTTTCTACCAGTATCTGGCAAGAGGCACTAGGAAAACTATTGTTTGGTTTTGAAAGTATTTTTTAATAATTTTTTTAGTTACCTAGGTCAGTTCAATGGATAAAATGCTATGGGAACATCAGGTAATGACATTATTTAGAAGGAAAATATTTATAATATTAATTAACTCTGTAGTTTATATGGCCCAAATTGAAAACATGCCTAAAATTAATACAATGACACATGCCAAGATGAGTTAATTAATAGTTAATAAGTTACTGAATATTACTGAAGGTTGACAGGCTTAATAATTTTATATTACTAAGAAGTAAAATACTAAACATTAAATAAATATATAGGCCTAGATAGTAGATAGTTAAGAAATATAGTATATTAATTATAGGCCTATAGTTTTATCTTTTATAGTTTATAGATATAGGCTTATAGTTTATAGGCGGCTTATAGGTCCTTTTTTTTTTTACTAAATACCCTACATATTTATATTATTAAGTAGGCCTAAATTGCCCTAAATTAAATACTATACTATAGGCCTCAGGAGTAATGACACTACTTACAGGAAAGGTTATAACCCAAAACATGAAAGGCGAAAGGTGTAGTGTAGAAATAAATGTAGATATCTAGCTATTCTAAATCAAAGTAATTTAGTAAGTAGTAGTGAAAGTATGCAAGTAGGTAAGATCACAGTAGTCTCCGTAGAGAGAGTCTAGTTAATTTATTATATTAAATTTATTATCACACTTGCTTTCAGGTTCCTACCTTTTATTTTAAGTTTCAAGTTCTAGATTCTAAATTAATTTAGTAGGCCCTAATTTAAGTAATTATATAATTTTTAATTAGTAGCCTAATAAAGTAATTAGTAATTAGTTAATTTTTAGTCTAATAATTATCAATTAACTAGAACCTAGTGGCCTACCTAACATCTCTTTTCTTCTTGAGGCGTGTGGTTCTTCTGTGTAGGCCCATTCGAAGTCAGTTCTAGAGACTTTAGCACCCATTGTGAAAAAAAATCCTCTCCTACACAAGCAAGAGTAACGTGATGAGATACCGACTGAATCCAACTTCCTCTTCCTACAACTTTATAATGAAAATAGCACTAGATCTAGGTCTGAGGTCACATGAATATTCATTTCCTTAACTTGATTCTAAATATAGTAAACGAAAAACAAAAAAACAACTGAAGAACCTCTTCAAAATATGGGCCTTTATGAAGAAATAAACAACAAGTGTATGTAAGCCACCCAAAATTAATTTTTTGAAAATAAAACCTGTGTCTTTCAGATAATTGTTTGTCTTTAATTAGTTATGATCAGTATTCACCATTTATTATGTAACTTATATAGATCTATATCTACTCAGCAGATGCGTAGGGTTTCAGTGAGTAGGTTTAACTTTAAGTTCAAGTACTAGAAAATAAAACCAGTATAAAAAAAATTCATAATAATAAATAAACATTTATTTAATTGAAAATAAGAAATTCAACTACCTTGTAAAAGTATTGATGGCCAGTATGTGAAAGAGATTTTCTGAGCGACCAATGCTTTTACTAGTTTTACTAAAGGAAGAAAGTTTAAGTCCCTAATTTTTTGTGCATTTAAAAGCTGATAGGCCTATATAAATCTTTTTACGCTTGTATTGTTTTCTACATTTTATTAATTCTGAATTTTACAAATTAAAAAAGTATGTTGATATTTTAGTTCTAAAAAGCAATTAGAAAGTAGGTTACATTTCAAATCTAAAAAATATTTGCTTTAATTTAAAATTAAAACCCGATCATAATTCTAAACGAAAATTCTCTTTTCAACGTCAGTGGTCGGCTCTCAAGCTCTCAGTTCATAACAATTCATAGCTTCGATCCAGTTTAATAGCTGGGTGGAAGGGGGGGGGGGCCTGCGATGACCCAATGGAAACATCTAAAGGGGGCAGAAAAATTAAAAGCTTATTTCAAGCTGCAGTATAGATTTATACAAAATGTCCAAATTAAGACATTAAAGGACTACAAGCCTTTATTTACTGATTTAACTTTTTTCTACCTGGATTGTATCACAATAAAATAAATACCCGTAAGAATCAGTGATCGGTAATAACCACTCACCAACATTTTCCAAGATGGGGAGATGACGTTTTTAAGCAACGTAAATCTGAAGGATTTGAAGCGGATCGATAAATATGTGAGTAGATAAACATTTTAACACTGAGAGAAGAACCGGTCCGCCAACCCGCCGCAACATACTTTGATATATATATATATATATATATATATATATATATATATATATATATATATATATATATATATATATATATATATATATATATATATATTGTAAATTAGGCAAGTGCAAACGTGTGCAAAAGGAGTTTAGTGAAGGGCGGGTGCTGAATTTACTGTGACAGTTTAATGTGAGGAAAGAGATGAGTATATGGTGTGAGTTTAAAGAATAGCGAACTGGAATCAGCTGAACTGCAAAGTGTGTGTGTGTGGGGGGGGGGGGGGCTTTAATTTTTTGCTATTTGATGGTTTATTTGAACAGCGTGAACCAAGCTTGATAATATCCTGATTATAATATTATATTATTTTTTTTTGCTTTTCTCGCATTTATTACCAGAATAATCAATTAAAGCAAACATCAGTCATATCCTGACAAATGGGTTTATGATTGATCCAGTTTTAAATAAAAAGATTAACAAGCTACCGAGGTGCAGTGTTTCTTCCAGACTTTTTTTCCCGGGTTGGGCGGCCACTTGAAATTTTCGGAGGGGGGGGGTCTAAAAATTTCCGGACATTGTTAAAATTATATATGTTCTATATAAACTCCATTTCATTGGTGGGGGTCGATATACTCCCCCCCCCCGAAGAGATGCCTGGAAGAAACACTGCCAAGGTGTGTACATTATTTCGAAACCTCTACACGCGTAAATTACGCATCCACCCGTAGATATTTTAAGCAGCCTTTATAGGCCTTGCGCTAACAATGTAAAAACGATGCTCGTAATCGCCGGCCACATTACTAAGAGAGTGACGCTTTAATTTAAAAAAAAAATTAGAAGTGAGAACTTGCATAGGTCTAGTCATTTTAGCACACATCAGGATTAATAATAGGAAGATTATTTAATCCAATATTCTGCATTCTGCATAAAGTATTGATTGATTCGTGTGTAAAAATCATTAAAATAAAAACGTTCATCGTGGGTTTATTATTTTATAACAATTTTATATTTATTTTTGTAAACACTTTACATTTGCGGAAAATAGATTACTAAGTAAATTATAAATATTCTACGACACTCACAAAATCTGTTAAGTTACTGAATATTGTTGCAATGAGAAACAACAATCAGTTGTTTGTTGGTTGGTTTTTTTTTTTTTTTTTTTTTTTTTTTGAATAAATTTTTTTTCATTCGTTGCATCTCATATCAGCTCACATCAAAGAGTGATTTTTCATTTGTAAAACAAAAGATTAAACATATACACGTACTATTTCTTTTTTTCTTTAAATACGCGCAAGGCCCCTAAGGTGATATTAAAATATTTCGGCAACTAAAGAACCAAATTTTAGATTACGTAGTACGCAAGTTGACGAACAGTGGTGGGAACTATATCCCGCACTACCCTTCCCATTAGAATACAAGGGGGGAAAAGATGGCGTCTGTGATAGGTTCGGAGGTAGAAATACAAGAAGTTGAAGTAGATGCCATTCCCGTAGAAATGAAAATAGAAACAGTTGAAACTTCGGATGAAGTTTATGTACAGCCTATGATAGCCTTACAACCATTACCAGAATCAGCTGGAGAAGAAATTGTGTTACAAACTCGTGAAGAAGTTGTGGGTGATAATCTTGTTTACTCAGACTCGATACCAGTGCCCGCACCAGAAATTGAAATTTCAACAGAGGAAGTTATTCCTATGAGAAAAGGAAAAGGTGGAAAAAGAAAAGGGAAATCTAGAAACCTTGTTCAAACAAGTGGATTAAGTGTAAACGATTTTGGCGAAACGTCTGTGAAGAAATGGGAACAAAAGCAAGTGCAAATAAAAACTCTAGAAGGAGAATTTTCAGTTACAATGTGGGCATCAGGTAAGAACATTTTAGCATTTTTATTTCTAGTTCTAATTGTAATTTACATTCTCTCCAATATAATATTGACATCTAGTCAAACTAATGTTGCTTTAGACTTCAGAAATCACTTTAAAAATGTGAGTTTTTGTAGGGAAAATATAAATAAAACTGGACTTGCTGGTAGCTCTCAGTTCCTACAAGCTTGACCTACAAATGAACTGGGAGGTGCTTTGCGGTGTGTCTCTAGCGTGTGAATATTGATATTAAGTTTTTTGTTTGATTTTTAAACTTTCTATAACATTTTCCCACTTTGTTTTGGTTTGTTTTGAAACTAAGTCGGCCATTACTATTCTATGGGCGCCGCCATATTCTTCATGAAAATGGCGGAGGTAAAATTGAAGATGGCGACTGGGCGCCATTTTGACATGGTAAAATTTCTGAACAAATAGGCAACACTGGCTTTTAGCTCACTTTATAGGACCTATATGTTTGGGAATTGTTGATTGATAAGATTATACTTTGATGTTACTATAATGTATTGCAGTTAGGATTAGTTAGATTACTGTTTTTTATAAAACAGTACAATTTTCGTGTCTTTATAACCTTGGATAACCTTGAAAGTCATCCATAACGGAACTAAGGGCGGAAGTAAAAATATTTTTCAATCGAGGTTATGACATCATAGCTAGAAAACGGGTTTTTGTTTTTCTAGTTTCGCTTTCGATTTAAGTAGATCTAGACTAGATCTATATCTATTCTGACTATTCTAGATATATATCAAGCCTTCATTAGCTTCCAATGAAATATTACAAATCTCTAGATCAAGTACAAGTAGATCGTCTTTATTATTATATTTATTAGGCCTAGATCTAGGCCTACTATATTTAATAAATTTAACTAGGGCCTATAATATATATGTATAGGCTATAATATATTAGTTTATTAATTGTAGGCCTATAATTAATAATTGTTTATTTGTAAAGGAGAGCTTTTAAAATATTTAGGCCTAGTATTTACTAATTACTAATTAAATTTAGGCCTAGGCCTTTAAATATTTCAGTCAATCAGATAAAAATAAATTTGTTGGCCTACAACAATTGATTAGTTTAAGTATGATGGATTTTTTTATATTAGTGTCCGATAATAGACTCCTCTGCACACATGCTTGCTAATGTCAATGCTTACCCCAACCCCTAATTTCTAACCATAAAGGTATTTGAGATTACAATAATACTACTAACAACCTGACACACCAATTTTAATTTTTTCTAAAGAGACTATTAACTATCTGACATGGGTATCTTCTAACATCCAATCTAGTATTCTAATAATGACTAAATACTAAACTAATGGAGATTTAGATGAATCCTATCATTATTGTTGACAATTTTGCCTACATGGCTGCATAAAAATAGGCCTCTATATTAAAAACTAAAGCTTGACAAAAAATTTCAAAATTTTAAATTTTATTTAAAGATATACAAATTCCAAAAATAAAATAAATGTTTCAAAAATAAAGATCTAGAACTTTTCCGATTAAGGGTACATTTTTATTTATTTTCATTAATCATACATTATATCCTAAAGTTCACATTCATATGACAAACATTAATTGGCTGTACAGAAACTCAGTGATCACTTTCTAACTGATGCACACTCTGGCTTTGACAATGAATGTGTATGACAAGGGAGAGGGTATTTGTATTTTGTTAGTTTTTAAAAATACATTTCAAACTGAATGTTAGCAGTTACGTACTATTATATAGTGCTTTTAAATACTTTTTTTGTAAACTGTACATTAAATTGATCAGTATAACATAGACCAAGCCCATTTGTGTATTTAGTAAGAAACACTTATTTTAATTAACAAACATTGCTGTGTGATATTATTTTAGCAACACCTTATTATTTGATTTACATAATAAAAATTAAGAATGTTATTAATATAATATGAATATAAGGCATGCAGGTAGCTTAAACAAAAAAATATATAATGGAGAGAAAATTGTTGCAATCTAAGTAGGCTGTATTACTACTAGAGTTAAGAGACAGTAATGATATTATTGGTGTAGTTCTGATATTTTTATTTACTTTGCTGACCAGACTCTTAATATAAGTAAAGTGCATTGGTACTAGTAGCAAACTACTATACAACACAAACCCTTTTCTACCCTCACTCTCAGATATCCATCAACATAGGAATAAATTCTCTACTTCTGTAGTGATTTCAGTGTGATGCTGTTGTCATTTCTTCTTATATGTATAGTTGCTTCTTCTATGTATTAAATGTAACTCTTGTGCCTTTATTTGTTGATATCCTTCTAAATTTTCTAAATATGTTGGTATTAATATTGTGTTACTATAAAAAATATTGGAATTGCACTAATTTTTGTTGTCTAAATGTGATGTTTATTTAATTCAAATATTGCAGAGGATCAGTCAAAGTTAGATGAAGATTCTGTAGCAGGGGATTCAGATGCTGATTTTGCTGAGTATATGACTGGAAAAAAATTACCTCCAGGTGGAATTCCAGGACTTGATCTTAGTGATCCCAAACAGCTAGCAGAGTTTGCCAGGTAGCTATTATACACAAGGAACAATTAGGCATATTTTAAGTGGTGTATCTAAATAATATCTTGTTTAAAAATTACATTTATTTTTTATTATGCTTAAATTATTAGAAATGTTACATGATTGGCAGCAGTTTACAAACATAGGTTTACACTTAATTGGTTTCAAATATGCTAATTTTTAACTAGTTCTTGTTCATGAGAAGACATGCCAATTTTTTGAGGAGAGATGTTTGTCGCCTGTTTTTTTTTTTCTTTCTCTTGTTGGGACAGGATAAAGCCTAGGAAACCAACAGATGATGTACCCCGCACAGTTCCTTGCCCTCACAAGGTAGGTAATTAAAAGATTTATGTACATTTTTAATATACTGTTACGGAAATATGTTTATAAAAAACCTAACCAATATTGTAAAACATAAGGCTTTGCCTCTTCAGTAGCTTGTGTGTAAATTAGGATTTACATATATATGCATACTCACATGCCATTTGTATTACAGTTCCTTAATAAACAGAAGTAAATAACATGTCGGACAATGGGAGTGAATTTTAAGATAATTTTTGGTCAGGAAACTAGTTCCTGCATTTTTGTTAGGAAAAGTTTTTGGTACTCAGGAGCTTTGTGAATGAATACATTTAAAATGAAATTTCATGGGCATAGTGCTGACCGCAGTATCCTTTCATATGCTGAGGTCACAGAAACAGGTGAACTCTACTTCACGTGTTGCATGGGACCGTATAAAGGTTCAAACTGGTACTTTACTTTTTTAACTATTGTTAGATTTGTATTTTTTCAATAAATAAGTTTTTAGATTTCCAGATTAGTATACCTAAAGGAATACCAAAACTTTTCTGCTATGCCAAAGCATATTTTAAAAAATATTTGTATGAGCTAGTATATTTATTTTTAAACCATTTCAAAATTTTCAAAAATATTAATAAAGAAAGATAAATATTTTAATCATGATTTTTAATGCCCATATAACCAGTTTTTCAATTATCATACATTTTAAGTTGTCTAAGGGGCTAATTTCATTTTATAATTTTTATTTTATTTAGCCTTAATATAAAATGTTCAGAAAGAATTTTCTAAACTTAATTTTTAAAGTTTATTTAAATAAACCAGTTATTATTCATTTATCAAAAACAATAGTTTTAAACCTAGATTTAAATATTATTGTGGAAATTTGGGCAGTAAATCAGAAGATGGGCATTTTTTGGCAAATTATATGATGATTACAGAAAAGATTTTGTACAGATGCAGACAGTATATATAAATTATGTCATATGTCTGTGGGGGAGGTGGGGGGGAGAAAAGTGTCAGACTCTAATGGAGGAAAGAATGGTTAGTTTATAAATGTATACTGTAATTCTTAAGAAGAATAAACAGGGAGTGATCTCCCCTAAACTTTCTCGAATATTCTTATATAAAATAACAGGGGATGGGAACTCGGGCTATAGACATGATTTTTAATCCATTTTAAATACTTAAAGTTTAAAAAATAGAATAAAATCTGTAGACAAATTAATTGCACACCAAGTGAACGCCAAATAAAAAAGTGCATAATAGTGCGCAATATTATTAGTATGTTTAAAATTTACATTAGTTTTTTGAGAAATCGGAAGTAGCGTAAATTACTACTTCCGGTCAACGGAAATTACTCAAAATTTAACAGAAGGTAGAGAATTAGATCTTTTACTTACATGTGAAATTTCATTTATCTATCTGAAATAGTACTCAAGTTATAGGCTTTTGAAAAATTCAAAGTAGGAAAAGTACCACTTCCGGTTATCGGAAATCGCTCAAAAGTTGATACTGATCTACGATTTTGATAAAATACTTATATATGAAATTTCATCAACCTAGCTGTAACGGTACTCAAGTTATCGTGTTTACAGACAGACAGACAGACATACGGACAAGATTGCAAAATTATGTTTTTCCGTATCAGTGAGGTGTAAATATATATATATATATATATATATATATATATATATATATATATATATATATATATATATATATATATGAACATTTTTATATGATATGAACATTTATAGACATCCTATTTCACCATTTCTCTTTGACAAAATAAAGATAGCCAATCCATAGTATCATAAGCAATTACGTTTGAGCTATTATCTGGTCAATGATTTTAAACTGGAATTAAATCTTGCATTGCACAAGATTAAGGATACGGGTACTAATATACCTTTTTCCATTTTGTTTCAATAAAGTTGTATTTATATTTCAGGGTTGTAATAAAATGTTTAGAGATAACTCAGCTATGCGTAAACACCTACATACACATGGTCCTCGGGTACATGTATGTGCAGAATGTGGAAAAGCATTCGTGGAAAGTTCAAAATTGAAAAGACATCAATTAGTTCATACTGGCGAAAAACCATTTCAGGTAAAACTATTTCTCAATTAACTTAACAGAGGCAAGTAGTATAGTAGCTTTGGGAACTATTTCATCATGTTTTTAAATATTATTTCAGTGTACATTTGAAGGTTGCGGAAAGCGTTTTTCTTTGGATTTCAATTTACGCACACATGTCAGAATCCACACAGGTGACAGGCCCTATGTGTGCCCATTTGATGGATGCAACAAAAAATTTGCACAGTCAACTAACCTTAAGTCACATATTCTCACCCATGCTAAAGCAAAGTAAGTTTTACTGTTACATAATTCTAAATAATAATAAGATGATGTAAATGGATGCCTTTACAAAGTTGAATTGAGAATAAAACTTGTAATAGTATGTAAAGTACCACTTTTATTCTATTTAAAGGGTTGACAGGTCTTCAAAGACAATGTTAGTGTTTTCAGATCAGGGATCAGTAGATGGTGACCAGTGGTGAGTGTAAATTCTATCCAAATGTGTTTTGTTTTGGTACTATTTATTACATTCCTTAAACTCAAATAAAAGCAGAATCACAATTATTTAAAAATTAATTTTTTGTGTATCATATGAGCAGACTTGCGTGATGTCCTACCATAAGTGGAATTGTTCATCTGTTTACAAAAAAATCTTGTCTTATTTTCGCCATTACTCTTTTATCAAAGTTTGTTCCACTAAATAAAAAATAGAAAATTTTACAATTTAAAAATTGAAAAGAAAAAAAGTTTGTGGGAATGCTGTTATTTTTCTTTGGTTGGTTAAAGTAGGGCTCTTGAATTTGTTGTAAATTAGCACAATATTTATTAACAATATATTAACCAACTGACGACCAATGCACCAACTAATAACTGCTAATTAACTAGTCTAGAACATGTTTCAGCATTTGTGTTCAAATAGCCTATTGCTTAACAAGTCAGGAACACAGAATTTTTAGAAGGTTTCCCACCATTTCATAAATTTTCTAGGGGTAAGCTCATGGTTGCTAAACTGAAACTTCTCGAATACGAAATGTCTGGGAGATGAGCTTGGCAGCTGGGGACAGCAGCTCTTCTAGCCCAAAATCAAACAACTGCTGCCTTGTAATTTGCTCTTATTTGGACAGAGGTTATGGAAGCAAATTAAAAAAGAAAAGCAGACTGAATTGGGAGTCAAATGCCTATATGGCGCATAACAAGTTAACATGTAATACTTAACACTAGCAGAAGAAGAAACATGAATTTTCTTGTGCTTGTCATGTTTTTGTACATACATACATCCATGTAGTTGTGGTGTAAATGTTAGTGTATTAATACTTTTCTTTCAGTTTGTCAGATGATGGGTTGTTAGTATTTGATGCGAGAGGACAGTCAGCATACCAAATACCTGGAGCACAGTAAGTAGAAACATTATTCAATATTTCTATGTAATTTAAATATAATTAAAACTGTAGACATACAAACACGTGTTGTCCACTAATTATAAATGATTAAAGTTTGGCCATGACAGCCAATGTATCAGACATATTGTCCCAATACTAGCTAAATTTATTTAAAATTGTGCCTTGTTTCACCATTCCACTTTCATCACAGTTTGTTCAGCTAAATTAAATAAAAATCAAATTGAAAACGTATGGAAAATGCAATTATTTCCCCATGGCATTCATTTACTGACATGTTGACAATGTGGAAAATGTTAACTGCCGAGATTGCGGGAGCTTTAAAAATGAACACAGTATTTTAGAAATGTTTTGAGGAATTTTCTTTAAAATACAGAAATATTTTTAAGGAAATAGTATGTGATCAACCCACTAGACAAATTAACAGAAAATATGAAGACATTCAGCATTTACCTTTTATTCCTATAGCCTACTACAACGTTGTATTTAGCAAGTCAAGAACACATGAACTTCTCATGCAAACCAAAAAATCCAATATAGTCTTAGATTGTTACAGCAGCATCTACTTTTGCAAGAAACAAATTGTTGTTATAGTTGAACTGTTTTATTATAGTTACATTTGGGGGGGGGGGTCCATGTTTTTTTTAAAGTCAGCTGTAATTCATCATCTTTTCCTGTTTGTGCCCAAGACACATAGGGCAGATGAAGTAGAGTTGATCTGTTTCAAGTGTAGTCCCACACCTAACATGAGTCAGTAACCCATCAGAGCTTGACGAACTCAGAGTTGAATTACAGGCTTAAGCCCGTGATTATAACTTGACTTTTTGGTTAGCAATCTAGCACTATACCTCTAGGCCAAACCATCCCCAGGCTTGATTTTAACTTAATAAAACTATACCAAATCTATTATTTAATATTAGTATTTGTTTTCTGCTTAGCAAAGTAGTATCTGCTATTATGTTCATTTTTTTTGCTTCAAATTTCTCTTTTTATGTATGACTGTTCCTACTTTTGGTGCCAGAGGTAGGCATCAGGCATATCTGGGCATATAAATTATTTATATCTTTATAGAGAAATATTTCAGATTATTTTATTTCCAGTTAATTTTTGACAGTAATATTAACCTTACATATTTTTGTTTCAACAGAGCAGGACAAGCCCTTGCTTATGTGACTATTCCGCCAGAATCTCCAGGTTGGGGCTGAAACAGGTTTCAGGGATGAATGTGTGAAATGTAAGGCTTATCAACAGGTACATTAATTAATAATTAAACCTTAATAATTTCTGCAATACAGGCAGTATTTAATTTAGGTAATGTCTTTGTTGTAACAGACTAATTTTTAATAAACTTCCGAACAGTGATTGTTTTTTTTAAGGATAAATAGTAACCATTTATTTTAACCATTATACTTCACACACAATAAGTACCACATTAGAATAAACAAATTAAAAATGGGATTAAAAATATTTTAATTTATAAATTTAATTTTAAAAATGGCTGCATAATGGGATAACTATTAAAAAATCTTCCTTACACATCAAATAAATGCTCTTACAAACATTTCACAGTACTTTAACATGAAAAATTAACAGTAATTATAGTGTTTTTCAAATATGGTTTATTTATACAGAATTTTGTTTCAGGATTTGTAATGAAAGACCACTGAACTAGGAATAAATTTAGAGCTACAACTTGGATTTTGTTGCCTAATACTCTACAAGTCACTACATTTTGTGTGTGTATGTAAATAGAAATCAAATTACTTTATTGGAAGCTAGCTTGTTTAAAAAAGCAATAAAAAGAAATATTCTGGCTTGTACAATAAAATAAATACCTATCTTACATTTACCAATGGACATTTCTACAGCCAATTAATGAAAATAGTGTTTTTAAAAAGACGTACAAGCATGAAGTGGTCATGGTTAAACCAATGCCTCAACTTTGGTAGGCAACAGTTTTCAGTGTTGAGAGCAGAAGCGTGTTGTCTAGCTATACTTATGCAAAGATTCATTTTAGCTTATCCACTTTTTAAATCTTTGTTTTGAAATAAGGACACTATTAGACAGCTTTTTCTAAAGGGAAACATGAAGCTGTTAGAAATACATTAATCATGTGAGAATTTTTCCCAGGGTTGTCTCCTTGAATTCTATTAAGTTATTAAAAGTTACTATTTTTAAAAGAATGTCAGTATTTTCAGTGTCATACACTCTTTCTTGTCAACTGTTATTTTTTTTGTTAAGATTTTGTTAAGATACTGTATTTGGTCTATATTTTATCATTTTTACTTTAGATGCTTCATTCATAAGTTTTCTGATAAAAGAGCTAACATGATTCTTTTACTTAAAAAGTAGAACTATATTCCAATAATTGGCACATATTGTATCAAAAAGTTTGTGGTGCCTTAAATAATGGTTAAGTTTTCTGACTAGCTTTTGTTATGTTTGGGGTAATTTGATGTGTATGGCATTAACTTGTACACACACTTTGTAACTAAACAGTACCACCATTGCTAATTTAATGGGACTTTGTATTTTGACATTTTTTTAACAGATTTGTTTTGCCTAGTGTTATAATACATTCGGCAGAAATAGTGATATTTTTTTATATTTTAACTCTTTGCTTTTTTTTTTTTTTTCATTCTTCAAAATCCAACTTGGTTTTGAAAGTCTTGCAAGGGTGTATTTTTGGTTTTTCTCTCACTGATGTAGGCAGCCAACTGGAAATAATTTTTTTTGTAGCAGATACCTTAATTGAAGTTTTGCATATGAATAATATATATATTAAAATTCAACTGACTCTTCTAAAAACCATACAAAATATCTCAGTTCATCAGCTTCTTTTTTTTGTGTTAAATATTTGTAAAATTATTAGACTTCCTGTCAAGAGTAATTTTTCCAACTCATTGGTGGAGAATGTTTCATAATTATCAGATGAGTTGCATGTTAAGTATCATTTAAGTTATATTAAGCCTTCCCTTAGAACTTAAAATCTATTCACTAAAGACTTGTGTGTGCTAAGAAAGAAGTATCTTTATCACGGACATTACGAAGCTACTTTCTGCAGCCTTTGTTCCAATCAATAATTAATATAAAGCCAAGTCTTAGTTTAACTTTCATAAGTTTTTTTTTTTTAACTGGGTGTTTGCTGCACTGTAGATCAGTTAGTAGATGGCACAGGCAGTTTTTTTTAATTTAAAGATTGTACAAGTTATGGTGTATTGACAGTATTGTTTACAGCAGAATTTTTTTTTTTTTGTATCAGGTTTGTGTCATTAGATGTTCTCATTATATATGGTCCAAGTCTGCTCTTGTCCCAATTTTTCATATCTGACCACTCAATTCAAGATTTTGTATATAGCTATAATGAAACATTTATTTCATTTTGTCATTATGTTTAATTACTGTGTAATAAAAAATATGATGGCCATTTCATCTTCATGAATTGTAAATAAATTCTGAATTATAATTGCACAAGTTCATTTATTTCATGCTTTATTCTAATCCTTTAGCTTAATAATTAATTTAAAGCTTCAAGTACCCCAGGACTATTTTTCAAATGAGCAAAGTGTAGTATGATAAGCAAGGAATAGCAGAGGTTTGCTTTCAATGATTTAGACTTTTTGGCAACCAGATGCAAGACTACTACAAAAAGAATGTATACCAGCTATTAAATTTTGCTTGGAATCAGCTATGGAGGGGGGGGGGAGCTTCTTTTGGATTTTAAAAAGGGCATAGCAATTATATTGCAAAGCCAAATGTTTAAATTTTGATTAAATTTCAAGACCAACAACTGAAACAAACTCAACTAAGAAAACGGGAAATTGTAAGAAATAACTTACTCCGTTTGTAAATCTGTTTTAGTGTGTTACACTCCATTTCAAATAAAGTAGCTGTGCACAACAGTATGTGAAAGGTTAGACAAATCCCAGTGGAGCAAGGAAAGAAGGTAGAGATGGATGTGTCATATGCTGAGGGAATTGGTAACAAGAACTACTGGACAAGGTATTTCATGAAATCAACTAGGATCAAGAAAAAGAGGGAGACCTAAAACAGCTGGTGCAGAGAAATGAAAAAAAAATGTAAGTAGCAAAGGACAGAAAAGTATGGAAGGAAGGATGCTATGCCCCACTGGGAGTTGAAAAATGTGAAAAGTTTTTACTAACAATTGAAGTTGCCCATCTTACTTGGTTAAGTTGTTCCTCACATTGAGCACAAATATACCAACATCATTCCAGGTAATGTGTTAAATGTTTTAAGGTGTCAATCTGTAAATTTGGGCACTTAAGTCATTTATGGGCCATTTATATAAATTAGGTTTCCACCAAGAAAAATCGATTCTAACACATTAAAATGACATTTAGTTAAATTTTGAAAGAAGAATAAGATGACAATACATTTAGAACTTTTAATTCATAAAATAATAACATAAAAACATGACTGATAGAGTGAGTAGCTATGTACAGCCTGTAGAACATGGTTAACAGTCAAATGCTGACAGAAACATTGCCGCAGTGTAATACCAAATCTGCCCTGACACATCAGACATTGGTTTGTCACCCTTCTAATGACTACCCTTCTAATCACTGTCTTCTGAGCTGCTGGCTGATCCAAAAATCTCCTCTTCATCTTTTTTACCTTTGTCCTCTGCCTCACTACCACTGCCCTGTTCACTTGGACTCTTGCTTCTGCTCCTGCTTCGACTTGGACTTTTACTTGGACTTTTACTGGCACTGCGTGATCTGCTTCCAGATCTGCTGCGACTTCTGCTCCTGCTAACACTTCTGCTTTTACTTCTACTTGCACTGCGACTCCTGCTGCGACTTTTGCTACTGCTGCGGCTCCGGCTTCTGCTAACACTTTTACTTCTGCTTCTGCTGACACTTCTGCTCCGACTCCTGCTCTTTTCACTACCACCCGATTTGACACTTGTTTTATCCTCTTCATCAGAGTTGTCTCCCTCTTCATCCTCACTTCCAGCACCGTCCTTCAACTCCTCAGAGGTCACTGGAGGAAACACAAAATATAAGTCCATTATTTGAGCAAATCAAAGGTTTTAACAAGTCAAACTATTCATTATAAACAAAAGGTCAATGTAAAAATTATTTTTTAAATAGACTTTTATTAAATACTGAAAAAAACTGCTTAATAATATGTAGACTGAACACTGATACTTCAGTAGCAATGATGTCAATTTTCTAATTCTAGCAAAGTTAAAAACACTAAATGTAGGCAGCATTTCCATAAAATGTCCACCATAATTAATGATAACATATGAAGAGATAACTAACTTTTATAGTAGCAAAAATGCTTTTTTTTGTCTTGTGTTTCCTTAAAACAGATGTTACTATGTATTAGATGAAAATAAAATTGATAAACCAGCAAATACCTTCAGCAGTTAAACTGGGCATTGGCTCATCTTCTTCTTCCTCTTCCCCTGGTGGCTCTAACATCTGCATACGACCCTCCTGGAGACATTTCAATCATTAAAAATGAAACAAAAGAAAACTAAGAAAGCTAAACAAAAGATTGACCAATTAAAACGACTTTTTAAAACATAAAGATGATTGGATTGCTGGTAAAGATAGAGATAAAATATTAGGTAATAAAAGCTGTAATGAGCAGATTTCACTGAACAGACCTGAGTATCCAGCTCTTTCTCTTGCAGCTCTCTGTGTTTCACAATTAGTCGGGACCTCAGCTGGGCATTTGCTACAGTTTTTCTGCGTTTGCTTAGTCGCACTCTGTTTAGATAAAACACAATCTCAAATTTATTATTGAGACATGAAACAAGGGATGTATTTGAATCAATTGAGTGTATTTTGTAATTTAACATCTTTCTGTGTACAGATCTGTAAAGTATTTGCCACTTCAAGAGTAACTGGCCTATAGTCCAAGGTTAGAAAGCTGATAACAAACCTGGTTTCTAGTTCATTATAATAAACCCCATCATCTCGCATAATGAAAAAATAGGTTTCTTCGTAGCCTTTGGAAAGTTTATTTTTGACATTCCAGTTATACTCTCTAGCCAGAAGATATTCATACCTAGAATGAAAAATGATCAAATTAGACATATATGTCCAGTAGGAATAAAAATAAGAACAGACTAGATATATTGACTATATAGTTATAAAATCCAACTAAATGACTACGCAGAAATTATAAAAGTAGAAGCAAGAAAATTGTCAACTTACGTGTCACCCTCCTCGTATTCAAGGTTAATTTCTGCATCCCGTTTTCTCTTGCGTAATGTTTCATCAGTAGGGAGGAAATAGGCCACAAACTGCTCACCACTTTCATCAACAGCACCTCTATTTGTGAAAGAAGAATATTGGATTAAAATGATAATGATATTCAACAGTAAATATTAAAGTGATCATTTCTTATAATAAAAGATAAAACTGATGATACATTATGGATGATATAAAACAAACTGATGATTATAAAACATTAGACTGAGGATATATACTGAAACATAAAACAGATGAAGACTATTTGAACATTAAACTGATGATGCCTAATGGAAGCATATTAAACTAATAATACACTACAATAATGGAATAGTTCTCAACAGGAAGAGCACATTTCAACTCATCAAATCACCATTAGCATTGAAACAGTACTATATCACAAACTGTTCAAACACTACTCAGAGGAGATACAGGAAATATTTTGTTTAAATATCAGAAATCCTCATAGATGCGGGCAGTAAATTCAGCCTTTATAGATTAACTGGATAAAGAACTGTTGTAAATTAATGTTATTTTCTTTTTTATATTTTTAAATAACTTTTATTGAAAATATTTTTTGACTGTAGTGGGTCATTTGTTCCATCTAGTTAATGAGAAATGAAGTCTATTGGTATATGGTATAGACAATTTTTTGGCTGTGTCTAGAATAAGCTAGATCAAAAAGTAAGTAATACCAAGAAAACATAGGTGATATAGAAAATGTTACCTGATCATAGCTTGGGACATTTCCTCTATTTGCACTGGTGCAGAGTAGCCTTTAGGAGCAGGGTCAGAGTCAAACAGGACTTGAGCAAAGGGGTGTTTCCACAACTGAAAGTGTCAAACCAAAACTAGTTGAATTCTAAAGTTGAAACAACATCATTGCATGGGGCAGTTAAGAGAAATATAAGACATGGCAAGTAAATGATCTGATGGCTACCTTAAAATCAGGGAATACTTCCATCACTTGAACTGGTGTTACTCCTGGTTTACTGTAGTGTTTCTGTATCTATTAGATAAAATTTGCTTGATTAGCAGATTCCAGTTTAAGTATTTCTTACCAAAGAAAGGTGAAGAATCCTATATTATTATATTTAAAGAGAAATGCTATTGGTATAATACACACTGGTTGCTTAGCCTTTTCAAAAGTGTTATTGATAGCATTGATCTGACTTTGTCTGTCTTTGTACAGGTCTTCCTCTTTCATTATACGCTTTATCTTAAAGCCCACTCTGTTGAAAACAAAATTGAGATTTAATACATTTCAGATAAAAAAAAACAGAAGAAAAGCTAAAAATTAACTGAAATTTTAAATCATTTATAACTATTGTACTATTCCCCAAATTAAAAAAAAGTATTTTAAAGAATATTAAAATAATTTAGTCAGCTGAAAACAATATCTTACAAAATAGGAATATAAAAAATAAGCCAGATATTTGGAACTCACTTAGCTTCAGATTTGTCTGCCTTTTGAATAAATCTGTTATACTCTGTTGAAATGTACTCAGTTTTGCGCAACCACGAGACATTGGTGTTGTGATGTCTTGACCTGAAATAAGTTATTTAGAAAGTTGGTATTTTTATTAGAAAACACTAACATGGCATGTTTATTTTCACTTTGTTGAAATATGAGCTTTCATTAAAACAAAAATACAAAACCTTTTAGCATCTCCGGGTGTGTTGAGATCTTCTTCCAAAAGTCTTTCATCTTCTGGCTCTGGATATGCTGTTGGTTACAAAGGAAAAGCTCATCAAATTTTTAAAGGCAATATATAGGAGCTGAGTCTAGATAAAGCACAAATATTGTGTACACTGCCAATTCAAATCACAAGACCAATTTTAGTCTCCCCCCCCCCCTCACAGATAGATGAAAAAGATACCATCCCCAAAACGTACAACAAGATGTCAAGACACCATTAAGATAGGTCATATGTGGAGCCAGGGGCAGTAACAGACAACTCTGGAAAGCTGTAGAAGGTAGCACATTACCCAACAACTGTTTCTGCTGTATGTGATGAGGATTTTTGATGAAATGCTTTAATAGCAAAAGTCAGTTTACTTAACTTACCATTGAGGTCTATTTTGTATGTGTCTGGGTTGATCAAATCTATGTTAACACCTAAATCATGCTCTGTCAATAGGTCATACTTAAAGGATCTTTCCAGTGAAGTTGGTTTGTATGTGTAGAATCTTGTAAGGAAATAGAACACAATATTAACATTATAAGTAGTAGAAAAATCATTCAAATTTAAAACTGAATACACTAGATATAATTTTTAAAATGCAATTATGGTTTTAAATTTATAATTTCTTTGGCAATACAATTCATAAAGTACCTGTTTGATTCAAAGGGGTAAGTAATAAACTTTGGATCAAATGGAATATCAGGTAGGGTGTTGTTATATTTCACTCTGCATACCAATTCAGATCTAGAAAAAAAAAAAGAAAATAGGATGATATGAATATGAATTAAAATCAATAGTTGATGTATTCTAATAATTTAAACAGTTTATCTTTAATATATAGGTTGACATTCCTTAAGTGGTGTAAAATAGGCTGTCCTGCATTTTTCCTGGTGGACTAAGTTCAATACATTATTCACTCAAACATTCAAGCACCCCTCTGACATTCGCTTCCTATTTTTTTGTGGATAATGACCTGCTCATAATGAAAAATATGGACTTTGAACCCTTAAATGATTTTTTTCTGAACAATCCCAAATTATTTAGTTGTCGTGGAAGTATTATCTCATTGGGGTGGCATTTTTCCTCAGCCACCGACAACAAACATTTTTTTCGGTGGACAAAAAGATCTCCGAGGGCCGGATGAGAGGACCTCACGGGGTGCATGTGGCCTGCGGGCCGTAGTTTGGAGACCCCTGGGCTATACAAAGCAAACACATCAGCCTAGGCGAGCGGTGACCATCATATAAATGCCTTTATATTGGAAGAAAGTCCTCACCCATGAAACTTCATACAGTCATTATACTAATAATTAACTATAGGCCTACTTAGTATAATAATAAATAAAGTATAAAATAGATAAGATAGAATCTAGGTAATCTAGGTCTACATTTTTAGTACTAGATTTGCAGATCTAGTAGTCAGTAAATATAGTACTAGACCAAACCTAGACTCTAGAATCGATGATGCTCAGACCTCAAAAGGCTGAACTGAACACTGGCATTAGATTTTAGAATTAGGGTAGAGTAGCTAACTACTAACTAGCCTCGAGTCTACTAGGTAGAGCCTAGCCCGCCCTAGAGTCCTGACTTTAGTCCAGGATGACAACTGAACTGACGTCCTGTCCCAATCAGACTACAGTACTTTTAACTTTTACAGGACAGATTGATTAACTGAGTGATAGGGCCTAGATTATTAAAATAAACCAGGAGTGATCTCCCCTAAACTTTCTCAAATATTCTAATATAACACTACGGGGGATGGTAACTCGGGATATAGACATGATTTTTAATTCCTTTTTAATTACTTAAGGGCATGGCCGGGTGATGAGTACCAACTTCCTTATTTCCGAGTCTAAAGATGTAATACTTGGCTAATAGTTATAACTCAAAGAGATAAGCAGAAAAATATTTTTTTAAATTTTTTAAATCCTCCGTTGCCATGGTGACGACGGCCATATTGGATTTTATTGACGATTTTTAAATGGAAATAACTCAAAAATGGTTTGTACAAATTTCATAAAAACTTAATACAGTCTGGAGACACATGTGTTTAACACTTCCTATTGATTACATTTTCAAAAAAGAAGATAGTTTATTTTTTACTTTTTTTCCCATAAATCACTGTAAAAATTTCATTATTTCGTCCAATTTTTTCACTATTTCAACAATAAAATTTTTTTTTTTTTTAAATTTCCAAAAGTGTTCAATAAGTTTTATTTGAACATATATACAGAGTAACTGGAACAAATTTAGTTCAGTTCTGATAATTATTAACAAAGTTATTTCAATAATTGTTCACAAAAGTATCAAACTGAGAAAAACGCAAAAAACCAACAAAAAGTTGCAAAAAAAGAAAATTTACAGCTGTATGTCACTAAAATTGACCACATTTATTGCCTGAAGTATGGTGTTGCTGAATATATTCCTCCTGAGCTTGTTCAGCTGTTAGTTTCCTTTTTTTCTGGCTTTCTTTGTTTTACCTAGAGCTGTAGTAAAGCTGTTGCGAAGGCGTCTTTTTTGGCGTCCTTCACTGAGTCTTCGACTATGGTTTCCTTCTTTTGACAGCAATGCCATAGCATGCATGGGCCCAAAATTGAATAATGCTATCGCAGAAACAGCAGTATATTTTGCATGGTCTCGTGTCTAAAGCCAATTATGATAAGACGATGTCTTTGTTTATTGTGAATGGCCTTGTTCTGGATTCTTTTGCAGTTGTATACTTACGGTTTACAACATTTTTATTACTGCCACACCATGCTTGAAGCACTTTTTTCATCAATAGTAGCCACTACATCACAGTTACACTCTGAGCAAGGAAATGTATTGATAACATCAAGAAGCAAATCACAGTCGACAATAATTTTGCATGGCTGTTGTTTACAATTAGCACTACCATACTAGATGTAACAGTGCTTTCTTCTGTCTGTAAAAACTGTCTTACATTGCCGCAGTTTCTTAGTAAATGTGCATATTACATCTGCACCAGTGCTTGTCTGAATAGTGCTAGATTGAGTAGAGGTAGACTCTAGATGCAATCAGTTGCATTCGGACGTGCCCTTGCTTTAGTAAATTCGATAGATGTGTGTATCTATTTTTAGCGAGTGTTTTGTTCTACCCATTATCGAAAGAGAAACAAACTAAATCGTCTCACTGCTTATGATAATTCCCACAAACTAATCTAAACTGTTAATAGTATATTTAATTTAAATAATTATATGTTAAAATAATGTAAGTATTTCACAGAAGCTTAGAGAAACAAAACTAGATCAAACTTAGCAACGCGCTGAAACTAAGGGAATGTTTACTTCCGAAGCGAAACGACCAATCGCTAACTAGCTTCCGCCGTTGAATGCCAATGAAAAAATTGAGGTCAAAAATTTGCATACCGGAAAAACCCGACTGAGTAAAATAAACAACTTTATGACGTAGAAAAATAATCACATTAAAATAGGTATTTTGATTGGTCCTTTAATTTTAGAACAAATAAAGAAAGGAGGTCACGGCCTTTCCATTGATATGAAACACATTAGGCTTCCGCAAAATCTAATAGTACTTTTCTAGGTCGAAAAATGGCTATTTTTACTGAAAAAGTGATCAAATTACCCTGAACACACTACTTTGAACCCGGTTTTTCATAAATAAATAATGTTTTCAGGGTCATAACAATGTCATTTTTAGATTCAACGATGGTTATTCTGTATAGATCAAGTAAAAGTGGGAAATCGATGATTTAGTGGATTTATGACGAAAAGTACACCCGCCCATGCCCTTAAACTTTTTAAAATAGAATAGAATCTCATCGAAAAAAGAATTACGCACCAAGTGAACGCTAAACAATCTGTGTATAACAGTGTGGAATATTATTAGTACTTTATAAATTCGCATGCGTTTTTTGAGAAATCGGAAATAGTATAAATTACTACTTCCAGTCAACGAAAATTACTCAAAATTTGATAGAAGGCAGAGAATTAGATATTTTACCTACTTTATAAATTTCGTTTATCTATCTGAAATAATAATATAGTCAAGTTAAGTTAGGCTTTGGAAAAACCAAAAGTAGAATAAGTTCCACTTCCGGATACCAAAAATCGCTGAAAAGTTTTTATTAATACAAATGTATATTGTATATGACTATATGAAATTTCATCAACCTAGCTGTATTGGTACTCGAGTAATCACGTTTACAGACACACACACACACAGACATACGGACAGAATTGCTAAAACCAGTTTTTCTAACTCGATTATGTATAGAACACTGAAATTTTGATAAATTTGCATTTATTATTTTTGCTAGATTAAAATAAGTCCCCTATACTCAGTATGCCGTATAGATCTATATATGATGAAGAACTGAGGTGTAAAACGATGAAAACTGTCAAAATTTCATGTGATTTTTGTCCGTCCGGGATTTAAAGGGTCGATTCTAATTCTGAAATTCAGGTCAATTCTAAATTATAGTAAATATCGGTAATCTATTGTTTTAGGTACGTAAAATTGCCTGCGACTAGTAATGTACGAAAAAGTTACCTCATTGTTAAGGCTTTAATAGAAGTGTATTTGTGATATATTTGTGGCAAATATTATAGATAAATGAATTATAAACTTAAATCAATGGCTAAATATATCAATATAGGCAAGAAATTAACTTTTAACAGCAGTGTTTGCGAGCAAGATTTGCTATATAAAAAACGGCCACCTGTAAGTTAGAGTAGCTTCCCCTGAATCTCGCGCAATACTATAAACTATAAGTTTATAAAAAAAAACCTTCAACAAGATGGCTGCTATAGTAAATGAGCAATGTTGCATCAGTTGGAAACATGGCTAGTTTTCATATATTACTGAAAAGTTTTAATTCAATTGTTTAAAAACAGGTGACCTAAAAAAATTAAAATGTTTAAATCATAAAAATTAAAAATCTATATATATAATTCTCTTCTGGGAGCCGTTAGAAAACAAGCTGCAAGCGCCTCCTTGCAGTCCCCTCTCTTTCTCTCTACCACTACCACCCCCACCCCACATTGTCTGATGAGCTGTGGTCACGCTAAATGTTTACAAAGCTAAATGTTTACAAATCATAGAGCAGTAGAGCCGGGTTTCTATTAGGGGCAGATAATTTAGTTCGATTTTAAACTTACAGGAGGTAACTAAGAAATAACTAAGAGGAGGCTGCTTTCACGGGGGGGTAGGGTCGGGGTTAGGGGAAAGGTGGGGGGGTTTAGTGTTTTAAAGCAAATATTTTCAGTGGCAGCATTGGTACTGTCGAATTCACAAATTATGAATTACTGAAAAATAGAAAATAAAACAACTAGGCCTAAATAGCGGCGTATGATACGCTGCGGGTCGGCTCGTATTTAATATATAAGAATTAAGATTAGGCCTATTTTTAAGTATTTTAACTTTTAAGAATAAGATTAAGTTTAAGACTTAACTTAAGATCAACAATTTTCTAAGCCTACATCTGTACATCATCCTATTTTTTATAGGCTAGATTTCTTGTCGTAGCTTTAGTTACCTCTTGTCTCCTGGTCTAGATCGTTTGTCTCTTTCATCTCTTCTTCCAGTTTGTACCGTAGGAGGCATTTCCAAGTATTATTATTCAATTTATTGAGTTTTACACTGGACTAAGATTGTGTTGTTAAACAATCAGGATAAATTCTAATGGTTCGTCCGCATACCGAAAAGCAACGTAAATCACTAGATAACAACCTTAATATATTTTCTTCGTTTCTATATCGAGATTTGGATAGGTGTAATGCGAATTAAAATTAACGTATTTGCAACCACATTTGCACAATTTTAAATTATCACGTTAAAATGTGTATTTCGTGTAGAACTGTAATAATTTATTAGTTGTGTGAGGTTGGTGGGGGGGGGGGGGGGGGAGAATGAGGAGTAAGGACTCATCCAAAAATGACGTCACGCTTTTTGGACGATTTTTCCTCCCTTCAGTCACTCATCGTCACGAAATGACATAGCACTTCAGCCAAAATTGCACTTAGATTTTATTAGAACATCTATTTTTTTTCTAAAAAAAAATTGACTGAGCTTAGTCAACATAGATTTATGTAATCATTTTCTACTACGAGTTACTAAAACAGTTTTCTAAAGCGCGTATTAACGGCTAAAATTCAGTTTCTAACATTACTAATACTTTTTCAAAAATTGTGGCGTCGCACTATCTGACGGGAAATTAATTAATAAAACTGAAAATAGATAATGAATTGCAACAATTTAATTTAAAAATTAAACATCTGCATTTTATTAATCAGGTGCGTTTCCTTGGGGGGGGGGGGGTCCATAAAAGACGCCACACTGAGAATGGAAGGGGTTTGGAATTTAGGGGATAGTGGTGTATTAGTATCAACCATGAAACCGAGGTGGACAGTCCATTCTCCCCCCCCCTCCCCCGAGCTGTGTAAATAAATAGAGCACTTGGAACAACTGACTCTCTTTGAATTAAAAAAAATCAGTTTCTGTAAACTTGCGTCATGATTTTAATTTATAGTATATATCTTAAAGTTATATTTACGTTTATAAGAAAAATGTTTTGTAGAACAGTTAATAAATAGCAAACAACTATTCTGTATAAGGGGTCGTCCATAAATGATGTCACACTCGTAGGGTGAGGGGGGGTCCGTAATTTTGTGACGATGTGTGATGAGGGAGAGGGGGGGGGGGGGTTCAGATGGTGCGACGTCACACTTTTACATTATAAAAAAGCAATGTTAAAAAACGAATTTTAGACGTTATTTTGCGTTTTAGAAAACTGTTTTAATAAATTTTAATAACAATTGATTAAAATACTACATTTTGACAGTTCAGACAAGATTTTGGAAAAATTTAGCTGTTTTAAAAAAAATTCAACTGCAATTTTGAGGGGGGTTGTAGGCTGAGGTGTAACATCATTTTAGGGGGGGGGGTCTGGCTTTTTGTGACGACGTGTGACGGAGGGGAGGGGGGGGGGGTAAAAATCGTCAAAAAATAGCGTGATGTAATTTATGGATGACCCCTAACAAAGCAAAAGGATAATCATGGTAGTATAGTATATGCATTCCATTAGTCAAATATAGTTTTGTTAGGTTTTCGGTAGTTACATTTGATTTTCGTTTGTAATGTTAAATGTTTACTTGGTTCACTTACTAAAAATACGCCTTGACCCACGACTAGACTATTCACTAGAGTCTAGATTTATTTGAAGTTGACAGGGAAAATACGCCTGCTGTTAAGCTCTGTTACCTTTTTTATAAGGTAAAGCGTACTCTGGAGTCTAGATCTAGATCCAACTATTAGAATCTAGATCTCTATATAAATAAAACTAAAGCCGAGAAAGCCGCAGTAAAAAAATGTTGCCTCAGTCAGCCTCATCCAGAATCATACTCATGACATAGATCTAGTCATAGTCGACTTAGCACAGAATGTCACATACTCACCCAATACACTCATTGAGTCATTGACCGATTTTACGTAGGTCTACCTAAATTTCATTATATACTGGGTTATGAAGATGTCAACAGAGAAAACGCGAAACGGTATACAGTGGACATTGTGGAGCCAGCTGGATGACCTGGACTTTGCTGACGACCTGGCCCTCCTTTCTCACACACAACAGCAAATGCAGGATAAAACCAACAGGGTTGCAAATTTTTCTACAAGCCTGGGTCTGAACATCCACAGAGGGAAAAGTAAAGTTCTCAAAGTCAATGCATCAAACAACAACCCTATAACACTGGCAGAAGAAGCCCTAGAAGAAGTGGATAGATTCACCTACCTTGGAAGTATTGTTGATAAGCAGGGTGGGACAGAAGCAGACATAAAAATAAGGACGGGTAAGGCAAGAGCAGTCTTTAACCAACTAAAAAATGTTTGGGGTTTGGGAGATTTAACCCTTAGAATAAAAATCCGGATCTTCAACACACTAGTAAAACCTGTTTTACTCTATGGAGCCGAGACATGGAGAATAACTGCTATAAATAAGAAGAAAATACAATCATTTATAAACGCATGTCTCAGAAAGATCCTGCGAATTCGCTGGCCTAAAACCATCAGAAATGATGTTCTATGGCAACGGACAAATCAACTGCCAGTGGAAGTAGAGATCCTCCAGAGAAAATGGAAATGGATTGGCCACACACTCAGGAAGCCTGTATCCAGCATAACAAGACAGGCCCTCACCTGGAATCCACAAGGCAGGAGGAAGAGAGGCAGACCAAGAAAGACCTGGAGACGTGACCTGGAAGAAGACACCAAGAAGATTGGATACACCTGGGGACAGTTGGAGAGACTAGCCCTGGACAGAGACGTCTGGAAAGCTCTTGTCAGCGGCCTATGTCCCAGTAGGGACGACAGGCAAACATGACATGACCTAAATTTCCCAAAACGATAGAGGATTTTAGTTAGATTACCAACTCAACTTAATAATAATATAATATAGGCCTAAACTAGATCTAATCATTTAATGAATGGCTTTCAGAATGGTGACCAGCTCCATGAGAGGTAAAAAAAAAAGGAAAGTCTCTATTAACTATTTTATTAATTTATTAGATCTAGATTCCTCTAGGCCTAATTCTAATTGACTTGGCCTAATTGAATATTATAAATATTAAATAGTTCTACACTAGTACTGTAGTAGATCTATTCAAGATCCATCTCTTACTTAGTTAATACTTTAGAGTCTCTAAATGAATCTAAATGCAATGATACATGAACATGTGTATAAGTATAGATTTAACACGCAGTAACAATATACACGAAAACATCATAATTCAGTGAAATTTATTATATTAGTATTGAGTATACACTATACAGTATAGTGTCATCATAAAATCATAAATAGACTCAAAGACTTTAAATTAAATATCAACCCAAAAAGTAATCAGAAACTTTTCAATGAAAAGTCTCAAACATATGCAAATAGAAGTTTAGAAGTATCAAATTACTTAAGTAGACTACATCTAGGTCAAACTAGGATTATAGGGTAAAACTCCATTTTATTCTCAGGTTCACATACACTACACCCTTAGTTAAGCATATATTTAAACATTTAATATATACATGTGAGAAAGGATTAAATATAACATCTTTATAGGCCATACTTTAGACTTTTATTGTTAATACTAATAGGCCTATATTAATTTTTCAGGAAAGTATTAAAATGTCTGCACCTGTCCAGGGCATGGGCCAAATGTCAGCAGCTTCTGTAATGCATCATCCTCCTGGGATGATTCCCTCTAATCCTCAAGCTATTCAGCCTCCACCAACAGTTGAAACTGATCCCATAGCCAAATTTAAAACCTTACTCCCAAAGTTAAAGGAAACATTGGTGGTGAGTAGTTAGATATAAAAAAAACAACTAGGGCTTGAGTGATATTTATCTTATTTTTCTGACAACAGTTTTTTATCATTATTTTATTAATCTCACATATCAAAAGTTTTCAGTTTGTCAAGTGGCATTTTACCCGTAAACCAGAGACAGTTTTCTTCTTAGTTTTACTTTTATATAGTTATTAAGTTATTTTTTAAGGTTCATATGCAGGGTGTAGTAATCTGAGATATTTTGACCATATATCTATTAGAAAATACCAATTTAAACAGTACTTGTCATTGAGGGATGGCGTGGCCTAGCGATAGAGAGCTAGATGGCTAACCCGAGAGTCTCGTGTTCGAATCAAGGTTCAAATCAGTGGAACGTCCCTGACTCCACCCAGCTCTGATGGGTACCTAATTTACATTAGGGAAACTTAGGCGGCTGGGCATAGTGCTGACCACACTATCCTTTCATATGACGAGGTCAATGAATCAGATGAACTCTACTTCATTTGCCCCATGTGACTTGGGCACGAACAGGGTTAAGAAGAAGGAGAATCATTTAGAGACAAAAAAATTCTTGTAGTAGTTGATGTGATTTTATATATCTATACTAATTTTTAATGCGACCATTCATCCAGCTAACTTTAGTATTTAGTTATTTTATTAAATGAAAATTATTCCATTGACCATTTATAGAACTTGTTTAAAACTGGAGGTCATCTCTTTTATCAAAATGCCAGTCAAGATGAAACAGGGTAAGGGGTTTTTATCTCTTTGATTTGAAATTTATTTCAGTAATCGATCATTATTTTAAACATAAAGTAAATGCAAATTTTGCATAACTTGTATATGTCATCACACAGTGCACAGCTAGACAATGTCACAGGGCGATTTGAAAAATGTCTGGAAGAATTCTATGCTTTATGTGACCAAGTTGAAATGTATTTGGTAAGTTCAAAACTAGCGGTTTATAAGAAGTCATTTTGTCGCAAGTTTAATTTCTACGCAATTTCTACAAATTAACATTATCTGTTCAAATCAAGTGTTGCAGTGGTGTTTTTAATTAATTACACTTACTTGAAGTTGAAGTGTTTTTTTTTTTGTTTTTTTTTTTGTAGAAATTAGCTCAAGAAGTAATTCAACAAGATAAGGACAGTAGCAGAAACACACCTAATTTGATTCTACCACAGAAGGGTGACATCTCTCAGCCAGAAGGCCAACTCTACTCTCAATACCTCTCCACTGTCAGAGCTCAAATAAGTTGTGCTAAAGATATCAGAGATTTATTGCATGACTGTCTGAAAAATTTTCATGAACATTTGCATCCATAGATGCAATGGATATTCTTATACATATAAATAGTGTAAATAGCTGAATAAAATACATTGTTTCTTTTAAAATTGTTGAGTTATTCTACATAAGTGTGTAAATGTATGGATAAGAATTAGCTAATCTGATTTAAAGATTTACTAAAGATGTAAAATAGAAAACAAAGCCAAAGTTAGCTAATTCTTTAATTTATCACAAGGCTGCTGTTTGATATCATTGGTTTCTTTGGTAATTTTAGTTTTTTTCTTTTTTTTCAAAGGAATTATGATAACATATGGAGCCATTTCAGCATCTGAATATTGTGTAATCATCTTTACAATGTCATGAATGTGTCCATCACTTTCATATAGGAGCTGTACTTTTTCTTCCAAACCATTGATAAATGTATCACATTCCACACATAGGCTGAGTTGAGTTGGAGAAATTACACTGTAGAAAAAATATACTTGAATCACACAGATATTTAATTTTGCTTACAATTCAATAAAGCAGAGGTTAGAAAACTTGACTAGATCTGGTCAATGCAGAGATGAGATCCATAGAACATTTCAACTTGTGTAGCAATCTCTATGATAACAGCTACAATGTAAACATAAAAATCTACTAATGTCATGTTTTTTTTATCTAAATATCTCAAAACTAATGTCCATAACAGGATAAAAGGTTTTATATTAGATTATAATATTAAACTAATATTTACAATGAAAATAATACTTACTGCATATTATCAACTTGCATATGTGTCTCTATTTTTAACCTCACATGGACTCCATTATTCAAAACTGTAAATCCAAGACTCTCCATAAGATGTGTTTGGTTCCCCATGTGAGTTTGATAGGTGACATTTGTTACCTGAGCAATGGCTGCGGCTGGTTCAAAGCTCATTTGTTCTAGCAGAGAAAGTAAAAACATTTGTGTCAAAAAATTATGTTCCTAAATTTTAAACAAATAAGGAGATACAACAATATTAAAGTAGTTAAGGTGTAACTTGAATTTCGGTGGAATACCACTGGGGTATAGGAGGATAATTTTTAACAATATTGTCTGGTCCTCATGATTACTATTTCTTTCAAACCAATAGGGTATTGAAATAAACACAATATTTATTACTGCAGTTTTAGACAACATTATTTTTAACTTATTTAAAATGAGAAATATAAAAGCATACTGCCATTCTTATTTCTACAACAAAACCAGATAGTTTAGGGATGACATTTTGGCTGTGACTGATGAAATGTTTAATTTTCAGAAAATTGCTATACTTCTTTAAAGTGTCTTTTTTCCCCAAAGTAAACCTTTGATATTTAATGGTACTAATGTACCTTTACAAGATAGCTCCTCAAGTTCTTTGTGCCATTTTGTCAAAACAGTGGTATCTTTAAAGCATAAATCTGTGAAAAAAAAAATTGAAAATGAATATTGAAAAACAGACAACATAATAATCTTACAAAACTTTGGCTAAAATATACTAAATTATGTTATGATGAGAAAAAAAAATGGAAAATTGGTAATATTTAAAGGGTAACATTTTAAAAAATACTGAATGCAAATGAGTCTTAAAGTTTTAGTTGGGTTTTATTTTAAGGGTATGCATGTCAATGCACTTTTCATGTTGTTATAAATTCCTTTTATTACCCCACAATCAACTAGATAAGAATGATTAGCATTTATAGCTGTTTACACAATTTTAAATGGTTGACTGCAGAAAAAGTATAATTGCAAAATTTAGCTGATACTCAGTATTGTGGTGGGGGCAGAAATTTGTCTTGAGTGGCGAGTGAAATTCAAATTTTTCAAAACTCATTCTCATGGTAAATTAAACAGTCATAAAGAATGTAACATTAGGTTTTTAAAACAATTTCTTCCATCTGTTGTTAGTGAAACATTTTGTAAAGCTCAAAAGGGCTAACGGTAATGAGTTACCTCCATATAAGTCTGCAGCCTGAAGTTTAAGCCAACTCTCATCATAATCTTTCTGACATTCTTTTAATTGTAGTTCCAAAAGATAAATATCTTTTACAAGCGGCAGTATGTACCTATAACTATAAAACAAAAATTACATGGTAAGACACTAATATATTACACAAATTATATATCTGACCTCACTAATCTTAAGGTACCTTGACAGATAGATTATTATATCAAACAGTTGAATACTTACTGTGACAACATGGATGCAGAACTACTGGTAACTGTTGTCTCTGGGAAAACTGTCTTTAAGAGAGAATTTCTCTCTTGTATCAGCTTTGATAAAGTCTCATCTTTTTGACATAATACTTCCTCAAGCTGGTAAAAAATATGAAATTAGCTGTTAGATCAATGATTAAGAATTGTTAGATCAGTGATTAAATTTGATTAGTACTAGTTTTTAAAAAATTAGACCAACAAATCTTTAGTAAGGCAATTTTAATACAGTATGATTGCTAAACCTCTCCTGAACAGAACAGACACTTCCTCTAACTCTAAGGCTTATCTTAACGTTTTAAGTCAGTGTATGTGATGGCATGGCCTGGAGGTAGAGAGCTAGACTGCTAACCTGAAAGCCTTGAGTTTGAATCCGGGTTCAAGTCAGTAGAACATCCTTGAGTCCACTCAGCTCTAATGGGTGCCTAACTCATATCAGGGAAAGTAAAAGCAGCTGGGCATAGTGCTGACCACACTACCCTTCACATGCCGAGGTCACAAAACCAGGTGAACTCTACTTCAACTCAAACAAGAGTAAACCAAGTTTTTATAGAGGTCACATGCCTAGGAGATCTACTTGTCAAGTAGTTCTTTTTACTTTCTCGTATATACGAAGTATAAAGTCTTGTAATCGTGCAAAAAAAAAATCGACGTTTTACACCTCACTGATACGGAAAAACATAATTTTGCAATCTTGTCTGTATGTCTGTGTGTCTGTCTGTGTGTGTGTGTGTGTGTCTGTCTGTGTGTAAACACGATAACTTGAGTACCGTTACAGCTAGGTTGATGAAATTTCATATATAAGTATTTTATCAAAATCGTAGATCCGTATCAACTTTTGAGCTATTTCCGATAACCGGAAGTGGTACTTTTTCTAATTTGAATTTTTCAAAAGCCTATACTATAACTTGAGTACTATTTCAGATAGATAAATGAAATTTCACATGTAAGTAAAAGATCTAATTCTCTACCTTCTGTCAAATTTTGAGTAATTTCCGTTGACCGGAAGTACTAATTTACACTATATCCGCTTTCTCAAAAAACGCATGTAAATTTATAAAGTACTAATAATATTGCGCACTATTATGCACATTTTGTTTTGGCGTTTGCTTGGTGCGCAATTCTTTTTCTATGAGATTCTATTCTATTTTTAAAAGTTTAAGTAATTATTAATTAAAAATCATGTCTATATTCCAAGTTATATAAGAATATTCGAGAAAGTTTGGGGAGATCATTCCCGGTTGATTTACATAAGTGATTAGGCCCCTAATGATAATTAATAATTGATAGGCCAATTGCGGCATTGGAATTTTTTCTGGTCAAAAAGATTAAAGAAATTAACTTTAATTATTAATTAACCTTTTATATTTTATTGTTTTAAAAAGTGGATTATTCAACTATTGATACTTGATATTCATTGATAAGATAATGATAGAATCTACTTTTTAGATCTAGTTACAGTACAGTTACTAGTAGTAGATCTAGTAACTTAGGCCTAATTCGGTAATCTATCATTTTGGGTACGTAAAATCGCCCGCGGCTATTAATGTACGAAAACGTTACCTCATTACCAAGGCTGTAATAGAAGTATATTGTGATATGTTTGTGTCAAATATTATAGATAAATGAATAATAAACCTATATCAATGGCTAAATATATCAATAGGCCAGGGCTATTCCCAGCCGGTTGGGAATAGCTGTATTAGGGCTATTCCCAGCCGACTGTGAATAGCCCCAATACGGCTATTCACAGTCGGCTGGGAATATAGCAACATTACTGTGTGAGACGGCCCAAGTGGGTTCATTTTATATCGTATATTGTATATACATAGAATCTATTTGTAATTGTATTTTAGTTGGAAAAGGACAGCAAAGTAGCTGTTTGCAAGTATTCCCAAAAGTGTCAGGCATGGTTTCATTTTTTAACTTAGCAGAGACTTAACAAACTGCAACTTAAAAAGTAGTTATAGCGTTCATAAACGTTATTATTTTCACTTAAAATGTAGTGACAACACTTATGGCAAAAAAATGGACAGCAAAGTAGCTGTTAGCAAGTATTCCCAAAAGTTTATGGCCAGTGGTGTGTCAGGCATAGTTTCTTTTTTGTAACTTAAACTGCAACTTAAAAAGTGCAGTTATAGCGTTCATAAACGTTATTATTTTCACTTAAAATGTAGCAACACTGATGGCAAATTATGATAGAAAATTAATTTTATTACTGCACAAAATACAAAAGTTCAAAAGGCATAAAAAATAGTGCACAAAATAATTTACTTACAAAATTTACAAACAAAATTAATTGAAGTGCATGGCAAACAAGCCTCATGGAACCACCTATCACACACAGAACAACTCACCCAATTCATATATGTACCATCCACACACTTGTCTTTAGTAACTTCTTCCATACCACATTCATTACACAATTCAATTTCACCACCATCCACCTCCTGACTACACATTCTCACAGACACATTTTCACATTTTCTCTTTTTACAGCTTAATGACAATGATAGGCCCAACCTTTTTCTTCTAGAGTAAAGTGGCGTCTGCGGACAGACGTAGCAAAAAAATCGGAACTCACGATTTCCATTGAGCGCCATTCAGTAACCGTTTCACATAGAAACAAACCGAAAGTACCGTGTTACTCCGCATTCTTTCTAGTTTAATCACGTATGAGTCATTTTGTATTCATACGCATAGCATTGGATGTATTAACATTTTTAGTGGTGAGACTCCGTGCGGACACGAAGCGCACTTTTTAAAATATTTTATTTTCTGTGCGGACACGTGCTCCTTATGCGGACGAAGCAAATTTTGTTCGTTTAGTTTCTATTTTAATAATTGAAATAAATATGTTACACATGTAAATAGTGTTGTTGATAGTTTAATAAATTAATATACTGAAAAAAAAAAATACGAAGAGACATATACAAGTTTTAATCAAATTTATTAACATCAAGATTAGATTTGTTCTGAATCGAGATGTAGAAATAGAATATCAATTTACAGTAATTAAACTAAAGAAAAGTAGAGAATATAAAATGAATTTATATTATATACACAAATTACACATTATATACATCAAAGTACACCATAACATGCATTTATATTGCATTATATATACACAAAAAATTGCCTAAAAATTAAAAAACATATAATGCATCTTTAAATCAGTATGGTGATGAGTGATTGGGGCAACACATGTCGCACACAAAGTGAAAATTCTGCAGCTGTTCTGCAGTTAAATCCTTTGCTGTTTGTGTGCAACACGTGTGCCACCAGGAATCACAGAGATCGCACTGCACCTAAAGATTGCGTCTGAAACCAATTGATGTCATGAGACACCCAGAACAACATTCTGTTGGGCCATCACCCACATCTAGCATGACATCATTAATACACACGTTATCATCACTATCAAGCTCCATTGGCGTATCATTTAGCTTCATTCTTTTAGCCCTTCTTTGCTTCTCCCCCCCATTCTTCTTCTTTGCCTCTTCTTCTTTCTTCTGCATTCGTTCTTTTTTTTCCCTTTCTTTAATCAACTTTTGATATTCTTTACTCTCTTCTCTTTCTTTTTCCTCCGCGCGTATCATCTTTGTACACACTTTTTGTCGTTCTATCTGTTCTTTTTCCTTTATTTTTTTTTTCAAGGCATCCCTAAATTGAAGGCCACTCACCAGATGAGGCATCGTTGGCATAATTTTTTTTTCCCTTTGCCCTTTCCTTTCTTACTAAATGAAGGGATCTTGAGAATGTCATCGACTGACATAGCCACCTTTGTTTGGGGGTGCTCTGGTGTTATTTCCCCTGTTCTTATCAGTGATTTTGACAGATTGATAAATTTGTTAAAGTCCTCCTCTTCTTGGGGATAGGCAAAAGGCGATTTTTGTGTCCCCGCAAGACGTGTGAAAAACGCCACCAGTTGTCTTTTTGAGAGGTCATCTTTCAAAAAGAAGACGAATTCCTTCAAAATTTTCAACTGCTCCGCGCTGAACTCAGCATCTTCTTGATTTGAGCTGTTGTCCAGAATTTGAGTAGATGGTCCTGGGTAGTTGTCGGTAGTGTCCAGAATTTGAGTAGATGGTCCTGGGTAGTTGTCGGTAGTGTCCAGAATTTGAGTAGATGGTCCTGGGTAGTTGTCGGTAGTGTCCAGAATTTGAGTAGATGGTCCTGGGTAGTTGTCGGTAGTGTCCAGAATTTGAGTAGATGGTCCTGGGTAGTAGTTGTCGGTAGTGTCCAGAATTTGAGTAGATGGTCCTGGGTAGTTGTCGGTAGTGTCCAGAATTTGAGTAGATGGTCCTGGGTAGTAGTTGTCGGTAGTGTCCAGAATTTGAGTAGATGGTCCTGGGTAGTTGTCGGTAGTGTCCAGAATTTGAGTAGATGGTCCTGGGTAGTAGTTGTCGGTAGTGTCCAGAATTTGAGTAGATGGTCCTGGGTAGTTGTCGGTAGTGTCCAGAATTTGAGTAGATGGTCCTGGGTAGTAGTTGTCGGTAGTGTCCAGAATTTGAGTAGATGGTCCTGGGTAGTTGTCGGTAGTGTCCAGAATTTGAGTAGATGGTCCTGGGTAGTTGTCGGTAGTGTCCAGAATTTGAGTAGATGGTCCTGGGTAGCAGTCTGTAATGTCCAGAATGTGAGTTGATGGTCCTGTGTCAAAATCAAGGGGGGGGGGGGCAAAACTATTATTTGTTGGTCGCATTGGTTGTCAGGGCTAGTTAGGGGCGGTTCAGGTGTGGGTAAATTTTGATGGGTTGTTGCAGCAGTAGCATCACCTGCTGGCGTGGCAACGTACACCATACTAGGTGTCAACTTGCCGGAATTCAGCACCTTGTCTGGGTTAAATGGGTATATACCGGCAGCCTTGAAACTCTTGGCAGCAATATCAGGCAATGCTGCTTTTGCCCAAACAGGTTTCAGTACCTTGGCGAACGACTCAAGGTTAACTCCGTCCCCTGTTTCTGCCACATGGGCACGTATAGCGTCAGCCCATGCAGGCTTGATCACGCCAAAGAAAGCCTGATCTAATGGCTGCATTAGGTGACTGGCATGAGCTAATAGGCAGTAAAGAACTATGCCGTTTTCTGCGCATAGTTCTGATG